TTGGTGAGGTTAGGGTTGAGGTATAGGTTGTTATGGTTTGGGTGCTAGGGGGTGGTGCATGATTAGAAAAAGGAAATGGTCATTGCTAACTATATATAGGATTCAGGGTCTGTCTGTCTTAGGGGGCTTTAAGGACGTAAGGCTACTATTTAGAGGCTTTGGGGCCCGGGAAGTGTCTACTTCCGGCGCCGTGATGCTTCGCGCAGCGAATTATTGCAAGAAGGGTATGGGCACGCTAGTCTACGCATGTGCAGGTTCTCATGCGTAGGCAGCACGTAAGGGTCGGGAAGTAGCATTACCCAGTGTTCAGGCTTCTACTACTGCAGCACTGAATTAAGCCAAGCTGGCGGGCGGCAACGGCAAGGCTAGAGCTGCTCTTTTGGAGCCCACCAAAGGTGTGGCCCAACCATTAGAATTAACAATCCAAAAAAGCCTACGAGCTAAACAGGAGGCACTGGGGACGGTAGCAACACTGGCTGCAGGTTACCAATGTCTGCAGGAGGAGGGTTAGGGTATGAGTCAGTGTACATGAGGATGGACTAGAGCTTGAATTCTTGATGCTGCAGAGCATCCATGATGTCTCTAAGGCCACATGCCCGTTGCTGCGCGAGTCTGCCTAAAAGAAACCGATCCACCATGGCACCTGGCAAAATGTTCTCCCCATTCTCATGAATACTCCCATTCAATCATTTTGCCATTTGGGGGGGTGTGGGGGGGGGCGGCGGGGGATGGTTGCTACTTTGCCGGGAAATGGGCTTCCTGCCGCGGCCTCTTTTGAATTCGGCTTGCATCTGTGAGCCTGCCGCACGCAGGCGACGCAGGCTGCAAGGAATGCCACTCAAATCGCCTGCGCATGCAAAGCTGACACAAAATTGTTTAACAACAGCGCAATCACACGTTATCCACATTCACTCCTGCTCTTTGCATCCCTTTCTTGCGCGGCTCCAGGTACGCGTATCTTGTTTGTGCAGAACCATGATCAACAAGTGCTGGCACAAGTATCTGACTTGTGAAAACCTGAACAACAACAACTAAAAATACCAGTATGAGCTCACATAAAGGAAGTCGACGCATCGAGACACCGCTGATTTCCTGCCTCATACCCACATGAACCTTCCTGCAGTACCTGCTGTTTCTTACAGTAGCAGCGCAAAAGAGTAAGCTCCTACGCTGCACAGCAATCTAGGCCGAATCTAGGCGACTTGCACAATGGTTTGTAATAGAAGAATAACTGGTGTTCTTCAGTGAACTGAGAAGACCTCACTAGGGACAGTGCTTCTGGTTGTTATTGAAATGCTTCTCTCTTGGCAACAGCCGCAATACGAACATCGTTTCGTTTCAGTGAAGAGGTAGCTGTCAACGAGTCCCTGCACCTTTTGGTGATTTTGGGTGCGAACCTTGTTCAGGCAAAGGTGCAGCATGAACTGAGAGAAGATACAGTAGCGCGCCAACTTTGGACCATTGCACAAACCTTCCTTACACCTTGCAACCTGCAACAGGCAACGTCGATCTTCACAAATAGCTTTGCGAAGTTGCTCCTGCAACCCTCACCCCGTGCCCTGTCACCCCCAAACCTTGAAACACCATGTGTTAAAAGGTTTCAAACCTACTGCAACAAAACCCTAGGCACTCAGCCTCAACCCAGGGGACCCACACCCAACCCCCATTGAATGAGATGGCCCACCTTGACCCACAGAGATCCGTCATCCCATTCAATCCCAAGCTTGCCAGCAGACCAGAAACCCTGGCAAGGGCTGGGGTCAAAGTAATAGTAATAGTAATAATACATGAACACTCAACGGCTTCGCAAGATTCAGGAGGGCCTTAGTAGTAAACATGGAATCGTGGCAGGATGAGAGGTTCCAACAAGCTCTGGAAACATCACAGTAGCAATTTCGGACAGGTATGCGTTTACCCCAACAACTGGTATTTCTACATAGTTCTGGATTTTCCAGGCACAAGCCCGAATGAACAAGTTGCACAAACACGCTAACTTCACAGCGCTGACATCAACATGAAACCTCATAAAAGGATGAAGACCTTGAAAGTCCAGTGCCATTTCAAAAAAGGCCTGTTCTATGAAAACTACACCGCAGCTACCTCTGAGAGGCCCCCTTGTGGGGTTGATGGGGGATTTGTTTGGAGAAGGTATGCCAAAACCAACAAATCCTTTCTCTTAAACCCTAAAGCCTCAACCCTCTGAACCCCTGACCCCGAAAGCCAAATCCTTGATTGGTGGAAGCATCTGCTTGCCTGCGATTGCTTCCCTGCATGACAGCCGGAGCAAACAACCTGATGGCAAAGTAAAAGGCTTTGCTGAAATAAGGCTTCTATAAGGCTGAGGTAGGAATGATAGGGATTTTGCAAGAACATCGTAGGGATTAAGCGCCTATGGTTGGGGGGGGTCCCTGCTCTGAGGCTCTGAAAGGCAGGATAGGAAGGATCCTATCCTTTCAGTGGGGTCTCCTGTTGAATGTCCTACTGCGGAGACACCCAGATAGTAGAAGTCAGTCATCGGCCCGTAATAACTGACTCACTTTGAATATGCTGCGTACATGTTCTTCGTCGTCCGAAGGGCTGGTGCAGCTGTCTGAACCTAAGGAGGAGTTCGGACCTGCAGAAAGATTGCGGTTTCGACCACAGGGTGCATGGCCTAAGGAGACACGGAATCTAGGTACAACCCTCCACCCAGAGTAGAAAGATCTTACTGCAAGCCCAAGATTCGTACGCATGCACAGCCATAAAGCTAACTACCGGCAACAACACCCAACTGGCACGCAGCACAAACCCAGAACAAAACGTAGAGCATCTGAAGCCCTTTCAGGCCTTAACCCTGGACAGCTCCACCCAAAATCCGGGACACTTGACCCTATGGCCAGGCACCAGCTTCAAAAATGACCTTGCCAAGATACGGTACTCCCACTTATGGTGACGCTGGCCGGCCCGTAGGGGATGTCGGTGAGATTGTCACAAGAAGCCCTGAGAAGGACACAGGCTTCGAGAGGGTCAAGGTCTAGGAAGGGTTCTGCTTTAGGGCCTGTGGTGTAATTAGATCTGATATTGGCCCTTGATGTTGTCAATCGTTTCTACTCCCCTACCCTGTGATGCCCTCTGTTGATCATCCCTATCTCAGGCCCAAACAGACACAGGACCGGGCTGATGGTTCCAAGCTTTCATTAGGGACGTTGTGCCTCTTCCACAGAACTTGCTTGATTTAAGCTGTGCAGGCTCTGACTGTGTGTTCCCTAACAGAGCCCAAACTGTTTCATAGGAGTGCCTGCTGGTTGGCACGAAGCGATGTTTACAGGAGGCTCATGCACCCGGCACTAACCCTCAATACCCAAACCCTCAAACCCAACCCCCTCAACCCTAAAAAAAAAACTACAGCCTATACCCCACAAGCTCCTGCCAGCTGCCGGTCGCGCACCAGAGATTTGCCCAGAAGTCGGAGGGCTGAAGACGTCCTGGGTTCCCCCCACTGTGACAACATGGCGCACATATCACCCTGATGGTGCGAATCTGTGGAGGTCCAAAAGCATTAGGGGTCTAGGACCCTTTCAGGGTCTGGAGGGGTTATTGATGGGCAATTCGAACAATGTAAGACGGTGTAATATGATTATAGCCAAGACTTCGGGTTCGTTGCATGGCTAGCTTAATTGCAGAGAATTGTTCTTAGAGGGCACGCGGCGCAGCCAGCGAGTAGACGGATCCCCGAAAACCTTAAAAGGAAGCCCGAACTGCCAAAATACAACCGCAAGACAAGGGGGAATCACTGGGCCACTTTCTGTTCTGGGCTTCCTGAAGCTCAAGCCCCCGAACACTCTCAACTCTAAGCCCAATACCTGCCAGAACCCAGGGCCCTAAGCCACGAATCCCAAAATTCGAAACCCCAGGCCCTCAACTCATCTGCATCCCAAGTCTCGAACAGACGCTTGCAGCCAGGCTGTGAAGAGTCCCTGTAGGAGCCCTCAAATGCCAGTGGCTTCACGCAGGAAGCCACGCCAGAGGATGGATCCAGCATCAGGTTGTTGCTCCAAATCTGGGGAGGAAACGATTTGCCAGGGTATTGACTTATTCTGGAGGCCCCCTTCATGAGGATCCCAGTGAGTCTAGCGGAAAACAAAGGCAACCGATGCTGAGAAAGAACTGTTCAGGTTTGCGGCAATCCTTGCGAGCGTCACACCCGATTCAACAACACAGTTCACGGCTGGCTGCTCGGGACTGGGGATGTCTTTTTTCATGTTGGCATAGTACTTTAGGGGTCCGTCGGGTGAGTATACATAGGGTGTAGGTTTAGATGCCTAGCAGTTACAGGTTAGGAGGACTCCTAAACCGTCAATGCACACACCTAGGTGAAAGACCTCTCTTTTCTTGGACAACCCACAGAATGTCTACCAGCTGCTGGGGCTGTAGAATAAGCACGGGTGACCAATTACACAGGAAGAACACGCAATTTGGGAAAGCATCAACTGGGTTGCTATTCAGGAATCTATCTTAAGTTACGATATTGGGGAAACCATACTAAGTACTATAGAAACCCATTATAGTAACCTCAATTAACTTCCCTCACAGCAACCCAGTCAAGTGAGGGTGAAGACCAAGAGCCAGAGCCTCCTCCAAGAAGCAGCTTGAGTCCTGGCTCTTAGAATCGAAGCTTAGAATCAAACAATTCCAGGGTTTAGAGTTTAGGCTGTAGGGGAGGTACAGTCCTCTTGGCAAATACTATTTATTAGAGGGACTTTTCAAAGGGGCCCCCAATGAGTTGGAGAACCCAATATGTACAACTACCATTCCAAAACCCCTGCACCCCTGAACCCAGCTCTATACCCTGTGAAGCCCGTACATGAGACTGAATCCTTAACCACGAGACCCTAAAACCTTCAGGCATCTGAAACTAGGTATACTACGGAGCACAGATCTTATCTGCAACACCACTCATACGCGACTAGAGGAAACTACCTATTATATGTCGGGTTTCTCCTTACCTAGCCTAAACGGGGATCCCAATAACGCAGGCTTAAAAGGGGCCCGCTGTTTAGTACAACTACCTTATTCTAAAAGGAACCTAGTACCCCAAAACCAGAAAAGGAGCAAGGACCCAAAAAATAGGATCCCTTTAAAGGGTTATAGGGGAATATGTAGGGATATATGGGGACTATATGGTAGTTCCCAAAATTAGGGATACCCTTTTGGGGGTCCCAATATTAAGGATAATAGTATTTTGGGGTCTATATTGGGGTCCCCTTATTTAGGAAACTACCATATAAGGGTCCAAGGACCCACTTGGAAACCCAACGAACCATCCCGGTCCTTGCGTCGCCGTAGCTGGAAGCCCGGAGTGGGAACAGCGGTGTTTGGCAGTGGAGCATTGGGGTCCAGCCCCAAGTTGTAGTTGTTGAAGGTGACTCCGAATCCTAGGATTTAGGATTTTGAGGTGGGAGTACCAAACCTATAGAGTTGAATTGTGGGGGTCTATGCCCAAGTTTGACTGTTGAAGGGGGAGTAGCAAAATTTCAAATTCGTTGCCTCGATTACACTAGACTTTTGAAGGATGGGCTGGGGGTATAGGCGTCTTGGGTTTAGGGTCTAGGGTTGCCCGCAGCTTTCAAAGGAAGATGTCAGAAAAAGGCTCAGCACGCATCAATCGTGTGACTGGGTTGAGGGGTGTGAGTACGGTTGGGCTTCCAGCTTGCATGGCAACTTGGTTTAGCTTGACATCTTACGCGTGATGGGGAAAAGCCTGCATACCCAGAATTTCCATACTCTGGAAATGTGAATCAAGCAATGCTTCCGTTGACAAGCCCGATGTGGCTTCGATCTTCTAAAGAATATTCGCGAAGTAGTGTGGCAAGCCGGGGTAGCTTGGTAATTGAGAATGAGGCCAGGGCAGGTCTGAAACCCCAGAAGCGTCAACTGCAGCAGTTCGGGCGATCAACTTTCAAGCAAATGTCTTCGGAGGGATGCTACACACATCCTCTCAAAGCACCCGATATAGGCCTTCATGTCTGTTTGGGGTCCTTCCACGTTTGCGTCTTCAACAACTGTGCATGCATCAAGCATTCAGTCAGCTGCCAGATGCCAACGGGCAGGCAGAAGCACAGTTTCGTCGACAACTTTACGGTTGTGGGCGAGGGAAAAGACGATGTGCAAATAGTACATGACTGAGTAATGTCAATAATGAGCCTTCAACCAAAGCCCTAACTCTCAGCCCCTAACTTGCAGAATTGATTCCCAGGCTCTCTATATCAACGCAGCTGCAAGATTGAACCGAGACACGAATAGGATAGCCCATCTCCCACTCAAAGTTATCCAGCAGTGACCAGGCGAAATAGCCGCGGACGTCCACACCATCCTCTCAACATCAACGGATACGAGCCATTCATTTAGGACGTGATTGTTTCCGGGCTCCGCGGGGACTACGCCGACAACGCGTGGATTCTGTACGAAGGTTGCGGGTATCATACGTGGGCCGTGTCAGGATTTGATTCCAAGTTCTGTTCCAGACCTTAGGCATGAGCCTGGCAAAAGCAGCACCAGGTTCTAAAGTTAGGGCCACGGCCTTTAGGATCTCAACTTTAACCTTCAAGCGCCTACTGTCCCGATCGTTTGGAAGATAGACCCTGAGCCAGGGCTTCTGGATACAGAGTTTTGGGCCAGAGGATTAAGTTAGAGTTAAGCTCTCTATCTGGCTGGGATACCTGGATCGCTTACAGAGCAAGAGGCCGTTGGCAGCACTGGCTGCATCTGAAAACCTTGAGACCTTCCTAGACTCAACCAGATATGAGCCAACCGCAGGATCCAGAGTTTTGTAAAATGCCCAGGTCCTCATGTATGGCAGACAAGACAGAGGAGGTGTAGTTCGCATAGTACATGACCTTGGTAGCGGCTGCGCAGCATGCCCAGGTAAAAACTTAGCAAATTTCAGGCGATGTGATTTTTCATAGTGTTGATGCACAAAAGTCTTCATGAGTAAAAAAAACCAAACGATTTTGGTCGTTTAGTATACGTTAGGCCAAACAGGACTTTCTACACCAATCATACCACCCTACGGGATTAAAGATGATTTTGTCAGGCTGGTGTAACCGCAAGAATCCTTCACCCCGGCCCCAGTCAAAGATAAACATGGTGGAGTGCGCTCGCGGGGTTTCCCGGAGCTAGCTGGGAAGTAGATATCTGCTCAATTTCAGAGACCCAGTCTCTTTTGAGCCAGCTCAAGATACTGGAGGCTATAGTATGCGCAGAAAAAAATATCCATGAAGCGGCAACCATGCAAAAGCAGATGGCCGCTCAGATCCTTTAATGCTCCAAGCACTGCATACCTTAAACACAGCCAAAAACTAGTCCTAGATCCTCGCCACCGCTTGCAGTGCCCTCTCCCAAAAGCAGCTGAGAATTGGGAACCCGATGAAGCCCCCTTTGTTCAAAGGACTGCCGTCTTTATATGTCTCTGGTGTTCCTTGTTAGTCTGTGCAGGGTAACAGCATCAATCGCCACAACCTTGGATTCTGAGTTCCCTGCCCAATTTTCAGATAGGATTGATTGTGTAGCAGTCCAACAAATTTCAAGTGCATCTAATTAGATAGTGCAGCAAGCCGCGTGAAATTTACAATCATGGAGCCGCTACAGAATTGAGAAAGCGGCAATGGAGGTGGAATGCGGTGCCTCATCGTCCCTATCCTAACAATCAGCAAGGCATTTTGCAAAATTTGGGTATCCCTAAATCTCCCCCGACATATACAACACTCAGCAGTTGGAAGCCCAAGATCTTTGGTAACCCATACAAACGTATATACATATGCCTATAATCCCCAAATAATCCATTATCGTAGTTTCCATTCTCTTTTCCATTATCCCTCTAGAACCCCAATACATTCCCATGTTTAACAGTTTTACCTGGACCCCTAAAGTATGTAAAATAATGGCCTTTTGGGTTATTTTTAATGGTTTAGGGCTATTATTTTACCTACTTTTGGGGTTTAGGTAGACCCTTTGGCCACAGGGAGGCATCCCAGGGTCCCAGGTGCTCGCTGCGTGTCGTTCGCGGCCTCTTCAGCAGTCTTGGCCGCCACCGACCACCCGTTCTCGGTGACGTAGATGATCGGGTTGTAGCGCCTCTTGACCTGAAATCGGAGTGGCCAAGGCCAAGGCACAAGAAGCAACAAAATAAAATGACCAGGTCAAGGTTGGATAACTACCCAAACCCAACAACCCTCATAGACAGCATGCCTTAAGTTCAGGCTAGTCGCCCAGTTGAGGAGCTTGCGCAAGCCCCAGCCAGCAGCATAGATCCAATCCTTGCTTGTCTCTACGAACTAAGGCTTCGGGGTTAACAGGGCCAGGGAGATGGTGTTGGGGCGGAGCTTGTCTTCAGGGCATCCTCGAGGCAATGCCGTTTCTCACGAAACTTTCCAGAAACTAGTCACGTCGACTTCTCGAGTTTGGCTGCACAAGTGTGAACCCAAATCCGACAGAGGGCCCCCAAAATGTCGGGCTGCCAGCACTCAAGGCGGGATGCTCAACAACCAACCCTGGCTGCTTATTTGTAACTGACCACTCACAAGCATACTGAACCTCAGACTGGCCCACAGTTTCAAAGCTAATCTCCGAAATTCTCAACCCAACAAGATCAATCCTGAACCTGAAAATCCCACACCCAAAACTTCACACCTGAAAGCCCTAGACTTTTAAACCCTAATCTCTAAACCCCGAACCCTGCTATGAAGGTTCCAATGGCAGGCTAGACTCAGACTGGCCTTGGACAAAGCCTGACTCGCTTTGAACACCATATGTCAGATCCCAGCCTCAGCAGCTTTGGGCTTAGGCTTTAGGGTTTTGAAGGGTTTACCGTTTAGGGTTTCAGGGGTTTGGGGGCTTAAGGTTTAGGGTTTAGGGTTTAGGGTTGTCAAGGGTATGGGGTTCAGGTTTAGGGCTCCGGATGAAGGCTGAAGAACGTTTAGGCTTCCTGTAGCTGATGTGCATCCATTCTAAAGCATGATTCGTAGAAGTCTTTGGGGATCGTAGAACGACAAGAAGCAGCAAAATTGTGACGGACACTGATAAACCTCGAAGCGACACATCAAAATTGCACGAACACCACAGACGTTTGCAGCTACATGGAAAGCATCTCCAAGATCTTGCAATGCTACTGTATCACCTTGAGACATGCAATGTTCTCGAAACGATGAGTCCCATGCCATTTGGATATTTTAGAAAATACTGGCTGCATTTACTCCAACAACCGAAAATTCTCTTTGTAGGAGCCGCCATGTTGGAACGTTCCAGTTGGGATGCCGTGCAAGACTTTATTACCCCTAAATTTCAATGAGTTCAATAACTGTAGCTAAACCTCGTCACCGTATGAACCCTCAAAACCCTATAAACCCTGTCATCCCTGAACCCTTAACCCTAACCTGTGTAAATCCGCACCTGGTTGATCGCTGGCAGCGAACCATCCTGTGGCGTAGTGATTCAGCCCGAAAAAGTCAGCACTTCCTTTGAGGAGCTGCTTCTGAGCCTGAGAGACGATTAGGGACTGGAGGTGTAACTTACTGGTGGTTAGTAGGGAATAAATGAATATAATCCTCATGTAATATATTCACACATCTCCATACTAGCCCCAGCAAGGTAAGGACCTATGGTGTTCAAGTTTAGTAACGAACAATGGGAGCATGGTCCACTAAGGGCTAAGTTTTTGTGGTTGAAGTGACACGTAAACGCCTCACCTGGCAGCCCAGAAACATCAGTAAATTCAGGCAAACGGTCGCCAAAAACGGACCTCATCTCAGGAGGATAGTCCCCGTGCTGTCCAAAAATGGGCTCGGAAAACCAGCCCAGCTGGAAGAGAATCGCCCTTTCAGCAGCTGCAATGTCTTGAGCACCATCTGTCTTCGGCTCTCGCCAGTCTTGGTTGTTGGTGATGCCAATGATCCCCCCTTGCGACGGCTTGTACTTGCGGCGGTAGATGTCTACGGCTGCCGCATGTGCGTTCAGTATGTTGTGGCCAGCTATGTATGGATCCAGGGTCGGATCCATGAAGGGCTTGATACCGGGAGCCTTGCCACTGCCACTTGCGAGCTTCGTGGCTGTCCAGGCCTCGTTGAAAGTCACCCAGACCTGTGCTGACAAACCATATGGCTGCTGCTCATTGAGGTACCCCTACGACTCCTCAAAAGAAAACCATACTTGTGAAAAATCACCCTTTCCCTTTTCTGGGCTTCCTTGTCAAACTTCAACACTGGTGCCCAATAGCCGAAGAAACCTTCACTCTGTCTCCAAAAAGCCGGAAGCAGGTGTCAACGTAGTGCTTCCAGTTCGGGAGAATCACCCCCACAGGCTTACCGTCCTCGTAATCATGACTTGGCGGCTCATTGCCAACTATCAAAGGGTCCACTCATTGCCAACTATCAAAGGGTCCAACAGCAGGATAGACACGGCTTCAACCTTCATTGGGATGCTCATAATCTGCAAAAATCGAAACTTGTACCCGAGCAAACTTCGAGGTTGGGACAGGCCCTACGTGCCTTAAGGCTTCAAACTTGTCAAACACCTGTTTTCTGGACCCACCCCCGCACTATCCCAGACCCCATAAGCAGTTTCTACTAGTGACCGTGCTCTACCTTCATCTGGGAGCCTTTCGACTGTTGTTGAGATCTTCGGAATACCATCGTCAGCATACAAGGGAACCTATCGTCTTGACAAGCATTCATCCTTGAAAGCCAAAACCCTAGATTGTTGGAACTACACATACAGTATATAGCATTTCACATAACATGGGACACTTGTTACATGTCTCTTTGCTAGGGCCTCTATTATGCTTCTTATGGAAAAAGATCCCTATTCCTATGGTCACTCCTCATCACGGGCCCACCATGCATTTCGCTCAGGTGGGCTTAGAAGTGCTTGTGGAAGGTCCCAGTGGTACAACGTCACATACCTTGGCTTTTCACAGGGTATATGGGTCGTTCTCAAAATTCTGGGCCCCTTTTGGTTACAGATTATATTACAGCACATAATATTTAGGGGTACCAAAACGGGACCCTAATTTTGGGAGCTACCCATATAATGTTGAAGTTCCTGGTTTCGGGAGCCAGGACCCTTTCAGGATGGTAGTTCCTACCATGGGATTAGTACTTACTTGGTTGTCTCAACGGAAAACCCCCTCTTTGGGCATCCCTCATAACAGGCCGCCCAGGTTTGAGTGCTGTGTTGGTGTCTGGGTCCTTCTGAACAGTAATCTACACACTTATCCTTCTCAAGTGTCAATGAATATCCCATGACAACACCATCCTTGCAACCCTTAGCCGCCCCCCGTAAGAATCTCAACGAATATGGAACCCCGACCGAGGGCCTTTATGAAGACTACTGTCGTTTCAGGAGGGGGTTCTATGTTCTATGAGGTTCCGCGAAGTTTTGGCGCAGTATTACCTAGAGCCCCGAACCCTGAGACCCAAACACTGTGCTGAGGAACCCCATCCCTGGGCCAAAGCATGCCTGGGCACGGCTGAATCCCAGCGGCCAGCAGTGAGTCAATGAAGGTGTTGTACCATTTCACCCCCTTGTCACACGGTGGATGATATACGGTAGGCTTCTTTTTGGGGGGTGCAGCGGCGTGTAGGGGCTGAATATCATACAAATGCTGGAATACGTAATTTGGGGGCAAGGTCGGGCGAGGTCGATACTGTAGTCCCCTTAGACCTATGATAAACCTAATATCTTTAGACAATTCCTTGGGGCTATAGAATAGTAAGAAGTAAAAAGATATTCCTAAGGAGACTACAGGATAACGTGTGCCCAGCTGTGTCCAGGCCTGAAACCAAACTTAGTCCTGTGCTACAGCATTGCAGGGCCTACCTGCCCAAACCTGCATCCCAAGACCCAAGGCCAAAAGCCTAAAAACACAAACCCAAGTCCTAAACCCTTTACCCCCCAAAAAAACCCACAACCCTAAACCCTACACCCTTTATCCGAAATTCGAGGCCTGCCAAAGTAAATCCTCAACTCCAAGTCAGGCCGGTCCTTGGGGTTCGGCTCCCCCGAGTCGGCACCAGTAGGGAAGATGCGAGGCCAGGCAATACTGAATCCTGGGCTCGAAATATAGGGTTTATAGGGGAAATAGGGAATATAATGGGGTTATATTGGGATAATGGAAAATCAAATGGAAACTACTATTTTGGGTTTAGGATTTAGGGCCTTTGGTTAGCTGGGAATGAAGGACTGGACAAGAAAATGGAAACTACTATAATAGATTATATAGGGACTACTAGAAGGATCCATTCCTTCATTCCTAGCTAAGCAAAGGCCATTTTAAGGGTCGATATATTCATAGAGGGTTTCCTTCATTCCTAGCTAACCAAAGGCCATTTTAAGGGTCGATATATTCATAGAGGGTATACAAAGGTCTGCAGGGCTCAAAGAGGCTTTATGAGGTTTGGGGGTTTCTCAGAGTTTGGGGTATTCTTCGAGGTGAGGATGGACAGAGTATTCCTAGATCCCGATCAAATGTAACTGTTGCCTACCTCTCCTGCGCACCTTTCTCGTATACAAGTCCCATTGTCGGAGAATGCGTACCAAGGTAGGTTGACCCCCCGTTGAAGCTGGAGTCTTACTATTTCGCAACATTCATGCACACATGTAATGAAGGATCCAGGAGGGAGTCCGCAACGTCTCGTAAAGTCTTCTGATACCTCTGTTCGAAACTCACAAGCCAACTGTTCCTGGACGGAGGTTGAGATGACAGTTGCATGTTGGGTAGACAAAAGCTTTCAGAAAATGGCCCAGGGATCGGTAGTGCTTGAGGCCCATCGACTTCATGAGGGCAATATCCGTCCGGAACATGTGGTAACTGTTTGTAGCAACGTTGCCGGTTGCCCCCTTGTCCACCATGTGCTGGTTAGGTGTACATGGGGCTGACTTGCAACAGTAGCTGCAGTTTGCCCCTGGCATGCCAACGGTGTTCGCCTGAAGCAGGTCGCATAGCAGCGATCCTACTGCTGCAAATTCGGAACGAAACGCCTCCTACAATGAATCACACTTGACATCCTAAGAAAGGCTTGCTCCTAAGAAAGGTTTGCCTGCCAGGTGAGCCCATGGGTTGAAGTTGCGTACCAAGTGAAGACATGTAGCACTATCCACGGAACCTGCAAAGCCCCGTAACCTCCTAGTTCCCGTAGCAAAACGATTCAGACTCTTAGGGCTTCTGGCTGAGGGCTTTGGCGGGATGAAAACTAAACTGCTCAGGGCTACATAAGGCGCGCGTATGTTAGAAACTATCCCCAATACCCAGGTCTAGGTCTCCAGAACACAGTGCTGTTGGTTGAGGCAATCTCGTATCACTTGAGGCCCCAAAGGTATGGTCTTTCTCAGGGTTCGTGGCACGTAGGGAGGTAAGGGCTTAGGATTTCCCCCGTCAACTTCAGCATGTAAGATCTCCCCCTACGCAGTAACAGGATCCGTGCCAATCACCATTACCCTGTTAGCCCAAGGCATACTTGGGTTAGTAGGGGATATAAACCCCGTATCATATGTTCCCTATTCCCTACTATCCCCCAAGTAAGCAAGGGGGATGATGCACAAAGGTTATGACAGAGCAAAGCACCCCAGTGAAGGTGTCCCAGATGGAAGCGCCCCTTCCATCCTCATTGTAGGCGCCTGCTTGGAGGGTCTGGGAGCTTGGTATTGACTGGGGTTATTGATGGTAAATGCCACGGCTCATAGCTGCGAGAATTCTACTGACATAGGTGAGCGCACTGAGATTTCAAGCGCGGGGCGTTGGATGGGAAAAGCTTTAGGGCAAAATCAAAGCAACGAAGTGCAAACAGGGCTTGGCAGGCTGTGCACTTTGGATTTGGGTTCGGAGTTGTTGGCTTTAAGGCATTCCAGCTCCCTTCTTGGAAGCCCTTGCTCTGCGAAGTACATAGACTACATCCTTCAAAAACGGAATATCCGAAGCGCTTGGAAGTAGTTACTCCCTTAAAAACCATGTGGGATTCAGCCCAGAAATCAAAATCAGGTCTTCCCTCAAACCGGCCAGGTGAGCGAAACGCCCTGAAGCCTCATCCAGCACACATCTCAGCGGCTGAAGCCCTCTGAAAGGGGGAAGTACCCAAATCCTGCCGTTCCGAAGCACAAGCTATACCTGGCCTTTGCCTGGCGTTTCTGCTTCGGGCTTCTTCTTGTCTACAGAAGCGCTGAATGGGCGTAGAGCTCCTAACAACAGGACTCTGCAAACCTGAATATCTGAATCCTAAACCATGACCTTGGCACCTTCTATCTGGTAGGACGCAGTGCCGAGACCCCACGCGAATCCTTGGTTTCGGATCATTGTAAAATGGGCTTTTAAATGGGTTTAGGCTCAGACTTCAGGGCTCGGGTTTATGCGTTACTCTCTCGTGGAGGCTGGCTTATGTATACAAAGCACGTTAGTATTTTGTGGGGGGGACATGGCGATCCTGATTCACGCAACCCTCTTGCATGGGATGCTATCGCCGGCAATTCTCGTAAATTCTAGACTAACATGGATAGATGATAATATTGAGCTGACGATTCTCACAGTCTCCCGGATTTTTCGACCCGGCGAATCTCCAAAATTCCAAGAATTGTCGTAGAGAATCACAAAGAAATAGAACTTTCGAACCATTGACGGTCAAGTTTCATATTTGAGAAATTCGAACAAGTCCTGAAAGGTGTAGGGAAGGCTGCAACACTTCCTCAAGTAGCTTTCATGTATGTGCTCTATAAAGATCCAGAACGGATGCTCAAGCGGCAATACCCTTAGTTCTCCAAGAGCAGATCACCAAGTCTGGACGCACATGCTGTGATTCTACGCTTTCCTGTTCAGGGTCACTGGGAAATACACCTAAAATCTATAAAGTCCATACACTCGACATCTAAACCCTCAAGCTCAGATCCGACATTGAAGCCCGCAACCCTGAAGCTCACTCCTTCAACCTGAAACTCTATACACCCCAACCCTTTGTCCCAGTTAAATCCCAGGCTCCCTCAGGGAATCTCCCTCGGTAGTTGTAAGTCTGAGGCCAGGCGCCGAATTCGAAAGGCATAGGATACCTTGGCTCCAGGAATCTCAAAATATGGGGGTTTCCCAAAATTGGGGGGGTACCATTTTAGGGGTCCCCATAATAAGGATTATAGTATATTGGGGTCTATATTGGGGTCCCCTTATTTAGGGAAACTACCATATGGAGGGTGGGTATCCAGGGTATAGAGTTTATTTTAGGGTTTCCAGGGCTTATGTTGGAATATACAGGGCAATTATAGGGGATATAATGAGGGCCCAGAATGGAAAAGACCCTGGGAGTATATACTGGTTTATAGGCATGACGGCGTCCAAAAAGTACTGTAGAAGCTTATATTCTGAATCTCTATACTCGGACTAATGTACTCTGGGTAGATACGAGAAACCCATCTTTGGAACCGCCCGCATAGATGATTTTCTTTCTGCTAATTTAGAAACAGAAGTTGGCAAAATCTGGACGATGATTTCAGCAACACCCGTTTCTACTGACTTTCATCAAAACGATGGGTTCGACCTCCTTCACTTCCGGGCTGCTACACAACACAACAGAGTCCCTTGGAAACTGCAAGAAGTATGCAATCCGTTACTCTTTTCAAGGACTCAGAAATCCCAACCGAGCATCTCTTAAGTCTTATGAGGGACCCTGACACATGCCTGGAAGAGCCGCTTATCCTAACCGTGACCGCTACGCAGATCCAGATGCGATGGGCACTTCTGAAATCCTCGGCACTTCTCCCCGCTGTTCGAGCGATGTCTCAGAGCCAGGATGACGATGAGCGCAATGATGGCGCCCACTAGCAGAATGGCACCTGAGTTCTGTGTGGGCAGGGATTGCATCTTTTGGTGATCATGTAATAAAGCATGGCTTTTGAATCGTTATCTGGCAGTCAGTGGGCTCTGCGTGGGTGTACTCCAGCACAGGCACGCATGAGGTGCTGCAACACCCCAATCGGCTTCATGAGCGCCCAAGCGCGTCAGACATACCAAATCAGTAGACGATCAGCAAACCACATGGCTACAGCCCAGACAGGACAATGTATTCGTTAAACCCCTTCCAGGAATTTAAGCGTAAGGTCATTCAATCACTGATTAAGGGCCGGCAGAGCAGAGAGCTCAAGTAGCGCCAACTCTGGAAGTCAGGCTAGCATCTGAATCTCAAAAAGGGAGCTTGCAGTTTGGGGTGAACTGGCACTTTGTATGTAGAATCCCCTAAAAACCGACTCTCTACAGCTTCTCAGCTTGTAGAAAGGAAAGGAACACTTTTTAAAAATCCCCTTCAGGTCTTTGCCTGTACATTCATTGAACTACTTCGAGGGGACAGGTAAGAAGGCCCAACAAGAACCATCGAAAGCGAGGGTCCAAGGTTTTGGGGTCTTTTGGATTTATTGAACTTGCAGAGCTGCAGCAAGGCTCTCAGCCCTTGATGGCCCTGGGATTGCGCAGGTCCAGCTCCCAGGAGGTTAGGATTAAATTGGTTCTGGGTCGAGGAGGGTTGGGATTTAGTTTGGGGCTTTTTTTGGAATTGTGTTTTCCACCAAAGCCCCTAACCTCTAAGAAACTCAGCAGCCGCGGCGCATGTCCCTAGACCGAGCAGCATCCAGGATTTGGCAGCCCGAGCTTTGCGGGCCTGGAAACATGTTAGGGCGGTCCATAAATGGGGGTCCCTTTTTGAGGGTACACGGGATATGTGGCAGGCGCGGCGGGCCCTTCTAATCCCCCGTGCGGGTGGTGTTTGTGGGTTCGGAGAATTAGGAAAATTGAGAGTTCCCCGTGGTGTGGGTGGGAGTTTGGGGTTAGGAACATTCCCCCCTGATAGGGTGGCCATATTTCTAGCCTCTCAGTCAAACCAAGCTATTACCTCTGCCCTCCTGTGGTCTTGTGGCCTGTGGTCTGGGTCTTGCCGCTTAAATTTAGGTTTATGGCGGGTTTGTAATGCTTGTAGAAGGTTTATGACCTATTAAGCCACTCGTGCTGTGCTCGCGAGGTTACGTTAGGTTTATGGAGGGTTTATAAAGGTTTTATGGTGATCGTAGGGGGCTTGTAAAAGTCATAGAAACTTTCAAAACGGCTCGAAGCAGGATATGGTTTCATAGAAGGTTTATATAAAACGAAGACCACCCCAATCCCGATCCCTGTGACGGTGAGTGCTTTTAAAGCGCGACAACAATGTGTTGTTGTGCAGGTGACGACAGTTGCGAGGATCGAATGAGGACCACGCCGATCCTTGTGACTACTGCATTTTTGAGACACGACGAAAGCATGAGGGGCAAAAAGTGACCACAATTGCGAGGATGGCGACTTAGAGGCGCCAAGAAATCTGAGGCTTAGGTCACAGGCCTACATCAATCGTCTAGGAGAACAGATTGAAAGTGTTGCCTATGGGGTTACATTGACCTTTATCAAGCCGGCCCACTGTCAATACTTGATTCCCAGGTTCAAGTCCGGCAAAAGGCCGCTGCTTGGAGGTTCGGGTTGTCCCCCCCTGACTATAACCAACTGCTACCTAGTGCCCGATTGTAACCCTGTTAAGGGACTTAAATGCTCCTAATTGCTCGGATTATAAGTGCAGTTACCACTGGGTGAATGGAAAGGAAAATGGAAACTACTATAGTCTATTGGGGTTATACTTTCCAAGTATAATCCTCTTCTAGCCCCTAAAATTTGCCTGGGTCTCTGATCGTACCTAACTTTGCAACACCCCAAAGTCCAACCGAACCAAGAAAAGGGCGAATCATCCTGGGACACCGTTGGCCTGGCAGGAACCGCATGGAGGGTGCTTCTACTGGGCTCCATTCTCTGGAGTAGGCGTGGGGGGCCCTGTGGAATTTTCTATGGCTTTAGAAGGATTAAATAACGATAAAGCGTAATAAAAGCTGAAGAAATTCGCAAACCTATCCCTGTTCTGAGAGTTCCTCACAACTGACGAAAAACTAGGGGATACATGCGGAGACCCGAGCTTCCAGAACTAACGTCGAGCCTGTGTATCAGAAGAGGGTTCGCTCTCCGTGCCCGATGACTCCAAGATCTCCATGGAAGGATTCAGGATTTCAGGGGCTGGCGGCATGGCTGCGCAGCTCCCAACAACCACAGTCTTGCGCTTTGGGCTGCTCACTAGCAAAAGGGAACTCCTGACATGGAAAGGCTGTGGATTCAAGTTTTGGAGGGCGATTCACGCTTCATTGGAGGCTAACTTCAGGGTTATGCTGCAAAAGTTGCTGGCATCGCCATCAGAGCCCGAGACTGATCGATTCAGGGCATTCAGGGACTGCGACTGAGGCGAAAGCTGTCCTGTCTCTCTGCTTCTTTGAGCAAGACGCTCCCGGACAGGAACCATCGTGATGATCATGATAACCATGACCATCATCGTCTACAACAGCATCACCATCATCATCATCGTCATCATCATTAGCATCATCGTCATCATCATCATCATCATCATCATCCACGTCACCACGTCACCATCATCGAAGCCATCACTGTCATGATCTCCAGCATAATCATCACCAGCCGGTGAGATCAATGAACTGCATAGGCCACAAAAAGAAAACCACTATGAATGAGACAACGCTGGAACTCAGTTGGACATTACAGTCCCTGGCAGAATATCTCGCTCATGACATGGTGCGTCCAAAGATTTGAACATCTCAGAAATTCTACCCCACAATCGACAAGCAGGAGAGTCAGAGGGCGTTTGTCCAAATGTGCTCTTGGGTGCACGGCTTGCAGAATATCTGGGACCGGTCCACACGCGAAGTGGCATGCGCTGGGCTACATCCATGCAGCAATCGCTTGGGGCAGCGCTGCCCCATACCCTAAGTGCAAAGCCTAAACCCTCAACCCTTGGGCTGTGAGGGCTCCTCTGAGGTAGAGACTGTACACATATGCCGGCTCATGTCTGCAACGTTACCCGTACCAAACCCTCTCCCTAATTACGCCGGCACCGCAATGCCATGCCATACAGTACAGTTAACACTCAACTCTAGCATGTCAGAGCCTAAAAGGACCTAAAAGCTATCTCAAGACAGCCAGGCCCTCCACAGCCCTGCAGCGCGAGGGGCAGTGAGACTTGCATCCGTCACAAAAACTTTCAATTGCTGGGAACTACTCGCACATAGTGGGATATAATAATCCTTTTACTAATGAGTGCCACTGTTTCCATGGAAGCACACAACGACAGGATGCCCAAGCCCCATGTGTTCAGCTGCTGAAGCCCGAGTCATACTCATCTGCAGCGGGGAGGAACCTGCTTGTGATTTAATGGTCAGATCACGTTCCGGGATCTGGACCCTGAACACCAAACCTTGCATCTTAATCCTCACGCAAGTGTCTGGAACCTGGGGTGCTCTGCTTGTTCTGACTTTTTGCTAAGAATTTGTACGTGACGTCGAGACGCACCAGACATCCTACGAGATCACGGAGGTCAGCTTGGGGAATCGGACTGACAGATGATGGTAGGACACTCGACGGGACTTGTTCCTTGCTACGGGCTGTCGTCCTGTCTACAGGTTGCAGAGTCCAGATCCTGACAGATAGGATCCAGTAAGGTATTGGGCAGCACCTCTGGAAATCTACTACTGCACTTGCTACCAAGTTGCACCTGAGGCAAAGTCTAGGTACCTTTAAAGGGGATACAGGGGATATGTAGGGTAAAAAGGGGAATCTAGGGTATAGTATTTTGGGATAAGTCTAGACGATATAGCTCAAATTCTCAAACCATTGGGCGCCCGACCTTGCTGGAGCACTTCCTTTCAATCGGCTGAGAAGGTTGTCTAAACGCACTGATAAGCAGCAGGTTGGATAAAGAAAGCTTCCTCCCAGACCCTGCCACTGTGAGAGCCATATCGGCGCCTTTTCTACGAACAGCAACGGTTGTAGGATGTCTTCAGCGATCCCATGCTTGTTTTGGGCAGCTGAAGCTCAAGAACTTCCTGAGTCATGGCCTAGACTCCAAGCCCAGCTAACTTGGGCAAGCCGTTGGGCAGTTTATGCCAGAACTACACAAGGGTCCTAATCTTCTAAGCCGCATGAGCTTCGGCTCCCACTGTCGACTCACCCCTGAAGTTCTTAAGCCAAAAGCTTCAACCCTAAACAAAGCCCGAAAGCCCTACACCGCAGACCCCCTGATCCGCTGAAACACCAAGGCCCCAGCCCAGGTGTCAAATTCAGGTCAAGGTCAGCAAATATTCGGGTGCAAAACAAATAGACAGAACCTTTGAATTCAACCTCAGGTATGGCATACTATGCCCATGCTGGCTGGGGTTGCGCACGTATTCGCATGCCATTAGTGTTGCAGAGCTACTACTCTTTCAATAGTATCCCTCGCACAAGTCCCTACAACACACTCCCCATTCCTCAATGAGCTTCAGCAAGTTTGAAGCTGTTGGGACTGAAACATACCATAAAAAGGGGCCCAAGAACTAATAAGTCAATTTCCATGATGTGGCTACAATGAGGCCCTAATTTGGGGGCGTTGGAGTTACCAAAATCCTGTCATTGTCTTCCTGGGCCTGCGAAGTGCCAACGACAGCATCAGGCTTGGGACCGCAAAGAGGACCCCATAGATGATGTAGATGGTCCTCAGCTGCTTTGCAACTGTGGCTATCACCTTCACTGATTGATCCTACACCCCTTCCCCAACGCATAATCTAATACTTGGCTTTCTGTATGTAATGGTGCTATATCAAGTGGATTTGTCATCAGGGGGATGGGGGAGTTTGTGTTCTTAGAGGGTGGGGATTGCAGATGGAACACGTAGTGCGCCCAGTAAAGCACCGCTCAACAGTATTGCGACAAAAATGCCAGCCGGAAGTTTCTCAAAACTGGGGGGGGTCTCCCATGTTTGTGGGACCCCCCTAAGAAGGCAATGATCTTCAGAACCTCCGATTATTTGCATAAACCATCTGTTTAAATACAGAAGGTCCACGTACCCAAACGCCACGGATTAAAATCTAAATTCCAGGATCCAATCTATGCCGAACTTGGAACCCTATTAAGGATTATAATTTCTGCCGTCTCATAGGATTATGATAAGCAAGCAGTGAAAATCATTTCCTAGTACCCCTATCAAATCAGATTTGCAGCCTACAACTTGGGTACAGTAATTGCACCCTCTAAAAAAAGGTCCAAGCCCCGGACCTCCAAACCTAGAAGCCGGATTGCTGATGAGGAGCTTACATTAAGCTACCATGTTATGGGTACATATTAATAAGCTTTCCTTGTTCTAGTATTCTCACTTAAGACAGGCAGGTCCAGTGTCATTCTCCAGCTGGGAGCGCCAGGAGCTGTCGGGTCAAGGAGCTGATATACCTGAGAATTTCTTACAAGGGGATAGCTGAAAACAGGGATGCCTTTTGGTTCCTTTGAAGGGATGTGGCTGTGAGGGTGGGGTTTCAACGAGTGGAAGCATGCAGTGGTTGGGGTTTTGGGGGAACCCTTATTATATGACAGTTCCCCCAACTGGGGGACCCCAATATAGACCCCCAACAAAAAGTATAATCCTTATTATGGGTACCCACATAAAGGGATTGCAATGGAGCTGAAGAGGATATAGGGCCCAAGAATGGAGAATCAAAATCAAAATGACATGGAAGCTGGGGCTCATATACGGCTAATCCAATCCCCCCAATACTAATCCCCCTCCAAACCCTCAATCACAAGTATTCCCCCAATTTGAATCAGTGCCAGTTTGGAGTGTTTAGCATTGCCAGTAAGGGGTGGGGTGAGTTACGCCAGGACCATGCTGAGAAACGCCAATGTGAATATGGTTTATGGAGATTCTGCGGGGTCCCTATGTGAGGGTCTATGGGGATTCTTACGATAAACTCCCACTTGAGTGTTGGCCCGGCCCACAAGAGCGCGCGGTGTTGAGAACTTTCGGATCTTGAGGTCTGTGGAAATCTGTGGATGAGGGTTCATGGCTTTAGGAAAGTTTTGGTTTTGGGGGGTAGAAGGCTTAGGGGTTAGGATTTCGGGGCTCAAGTTTTAGGGGATTGTTGGGTTTTGTGGTGATGCGCTTCGGTTTGTCTTAGAGCTGTAGAGAATGTGTAAAGTTGGCCCTAAACCAATACGGAATGCCACATATCCACCTTCTGCAACCTTGTCTGCTTGGGCAAATGTAAGGCTACAAAATGTTGCAAAAAGCTCTGGGCTTACGCTGGGCTTCGGGTTTGGCCTGCCCGCATGGCTGCACTCCGAACGAAGGACCAACTCCTAACCCTCCCTCCTGCACAGCACCCTACCTGATGAAGACCCTACCCCAGACCCTAAGCCCTAAACCCTAAGCCCCAAGCCCTAAACCCTAAACCCTATACTACAATAGTTTTCATTTCTTTTCCGTTATCCACATATTGAACCCACGGCTGGCAAGCCAAAGGCCCAAAGAGTTGTCGGAAATCCCAAGAGGGGGTTGCCCATTCTGAGAAATCCATGCATTCCTTGCTTCAAGAATCACCCAATGCCGAAACTTGGAGCCTTATCATGCACATCATCCATTTTCTCGTAGCTCAGGTGCTGTCATGAAAGCCGCAGGGCCCAGCGCGCTACTCACCTGCCGATCGATCCAAGGTGCAAAGCATCCTCCCCACTTAGAGGCCTTCTGGACCCAGCATCCTCAAACCTAATCCCTATCCTAAACCCGACATCCAGATCTTCAACCCATCTGGCGAGAATTTTGGAAAGCCCCTGCTGGCGTAAAAAAAATTACAGCCTGTAAAGGGTGAGGGATTTCTCAGACAGCAGAGCCTGACATATGAGAAGGGAGATTCACGCATAGCTCGAAGTAGGCGTACACTCACGTTGCATCATGAAATAGCAACACATGAAATCGCACACCCAGCGTGAAACTAAATGAACCCCCTTGTTAGATCTTGAGCTCTGAGTTCAAGAACCCTAGGCCAGCCTGAATGACGAGATTCAACGCCGACTGGAACATGCCTTGCCTGATCTATGCCGCAAAGCCAACTGTGGGGGAGTCAGAATTTGGGTTTTGAGGTCGCGGCGGTTTTGGAATGCATCGGAAAAACACTAGGGGCTCTGCCGTTGTCAAAGGCGGTTCTTGCGGGATCCGCAACAGAAGGCTCAACCAGCAAATCTTTCCATAATGAGATGCTGCAATGCATATATCCTGTTTACCGTGCTTTAGCTCAGCTGCAACCTCTTCTTCATCCTCTGAACCCTACATCCCCAAAACGCTGAGCTCTGGACCCAAGGATGCAATTGAGATCTATCCCGAAATCTTCTACTGTGGCTGAACAAGCTTTGGCCTCTCCTGCTACAAGCCCCTAGATTGAAGGCGTAAAGCCACACACGCAAACACATCCTGACAGAAACGGCCTTGATTACATAACGTACCATTACAACCACTGCAACAACGTCTGCTGTTCATGCTATCATGATAATCTGCACCACTGAACTCCTTCTCTTAGCATTCAACATGCCATTGCTGGCTAATTCCCATATTCTCCACCAAGTCCTAGGCATCTGGAGAAACAAGTTGAACAACAAAGGGATGTGGGATGCTTTTGGAACCACCAACCTCACGTCCAATCCCTAAAGCCTGATCGTTCAATCGTAATGCAGGGGCTGGCGACTTACCAGGATCATCTTGAGGTCTATTTGAGGTATCCTCTATCAGAATTGCGCAGGAAACCGAATCTATATTTATTGTTCATGATCATGTCTATTTGACTCTCCACTTTTAGGCCCCTACTAGTCTCTACACAGCCCCCTTATTTTAGGCCCCTACATATCTCTAACCCCCATAGTTCGGCCCCTACAGGAGATGAGGACAAAGTCGCTTCTCCGCGGAAGCCGCTTTGCCGGCAATACTGGCAATGACGCAGCTGTTCATGTTCCCAAGACCTGATAAGTTTAGAGATGTCATTTCGGGATCATATGGGGTTGTATGGGGATTAGGTAGGGCTACAAAGAGATCTACTGGGTATAGGGATCCTATGGGGTTATATGGGGATTAAGTAGGGCTATATGGTAGGGAGAATATGGGGACCATACAGGGTTATGTGGGGATGACATAGGCGTAGATGGAGTTTACGGAAATTCCACCACAAGTGGAGAACGAAACGGAAAAAACATGGAAAATGTCATGGAAATTGGAATTATGTAGGGAATCATGGGGACATCTTGCGAGCTTAAACGTTTAGAGTTTACTCACCTCTGCTCACCCAAGGAAGGACAGTCATGTTCTTTGCCCTCCTTTGGTCCTTGGCAACCAGAGGTAAGACAAAGGTCCAGGGATCTGCGGCTTAGGATATTGAGTATCAAGCTTTGAGCTTCGGGAGTTTAAGGTTTGGGTTCTATGCGGCTCTAAGGTGTCTGGTTACACGTCGCAGCACAGCACAATGAGCGATTTTGTTGCCATTATGTACAGCCCATAGGGCAAGTACGGCACCTATGTATAGAGCGGGTTAAAAATAGAGCTGCAAATATCTGCAAATATCACGAAGTCCATTGTCATCATGATTATCCTGCTTTGCAGCCATGTTCAGCTTCCTGCCAGGAATCCTACTCACAATTACAGACAACACTCTACAAGTCCGTTCACATGGTATCACAGCAGGTCCCGCTTCTAATTCCTTAGCAAAAGGCCCAGGCATCCCTGCACCACCTTACCCACTACCCCAGCAAATCCAGAAAAGCGACTGAAGCTCAACATCCCAGGGGCTTGGGGCTTAGGGCTCTACTTACCCCTGGTTAATGAAGGGAGTGGACAAGAACATGGAAACGAAACGCTAGTATTGGGGGGTGATAAGGGGAGTACATAAGTTTTCAGAGTTGATTCCTGCAATCCGAGGAAAGTTTATTGGGTCATCCAAAAAGCGCCGCCCTCAAGGATGCTGGACATGTCACAGAATGAGACCGTTGGGGCCCCTACTAGGGTTCCATATGGATTGTTCTGAGAAACTCGCATATCACTTTAAATCCAAGCCCTGAACTCGCTAGCCCCCACACCGCAAGTGCTCGCATAACTCATGTGGAGCCTCAAGAACTGCCAAGCCCAAGCCGGGATCCCTACAATCCCCATGCTTGATTCCATATATACTTTACCCTACATTACCCTACATTACCTTATATACCTCATATAGTTATATATCCCTATGTTACCCCAGGCCCATCTTCCAGGCGAGACTATGCCTCAACAGTTTGCTACTGCGCCTCCCAGAAGCAAGCCATTCATGTAGATCTGCCAGGGGTGTGCCGAAAGCATCATCAATATATCTGAACAGGCAGTTGCCACGGTACCTGAGTCAAAGCACGATTCAACTTACGGGTGGTTAGCAACCTAGGCAGGAAGGGAAGATGATCCCTGCAGAGTCGACGCATAGTGTTTTCCTTTATTCCCTACTTCTTCCAGTAAGTTAAGGGGTCTTCATGGGCCGTGCTGGGGCTCGCCAAGAGCTGGTCCTCTCTGTTCTTCAAGGATCCCTTTGGGGCAAGCCAAAGGCATCCACGTAGAGCCAGGACACCAAAGACCGGCTCTCCCCAAAGCTCTTTGGGACTTTCTCACGAGGGGGTGGAAACCTTCCTCTGCGGTATCTATCTGGGAGTGTCTGCAAGGAAACCAAACTCTGCTGAACAGGCTGTACTGGGAGCCGACACCAAGGGATCCATGATTCAATAGGCTAAGACTCTGCACTGTCAACCACACAGTGAGGGCCTAACTGAAGCAAAAAATGAGGGCAAAGAGATACCCAAAGCCCTAAGCCCCATATAATCCATTATAGTAGTTTCCATTTTCTTTTCCATTATCCCTATATAACCCTTATATAACCCATGACGGGTCATCCTTGGTATTATGGGGGGTTTCCCAAAATTGGGGGGTACCATTTTGGGGGGGTCCCAATAATAAGGATTATAGCATTTTCGGGTCTACATTGGGGTCCCAGTATATTGGGAAACTACCTTATCAACCTTTCAGCCTTACAACCTCACTCAAACTCCTTTTCCGTGCTCATGTTGTCTTCTGATGTGGATTTAGGATTTAGGGTTTAGGGGGTTCGGGCTGCGGATTTCGAATTTTCAGGTTTGCGGCGGACGCATTGGGGCTTCCAAAACTTGCACACGCAAAGTCTAAGAAACGTCAATAAAAGCTGCATGCTGCCTGTGTTGTGGAGCCTATGGCCGTACTGAAAAAAGATGCATGCAGACAACTGGTACTCCATAGGTTCCTGAAATGCGAAAGGGTTCAGGGCAGCCTATGTGCCACGAGCCCTATGTGGAGCCTCCCAGAATCTAAAACCACAAGTAGCAGCCCGAATAGCCGAGCACCAAGTAGAGAATGGACTGTAATGATGGTAGGAGGAACCGTAACACTAACGCCCAGAAGAGGGCTGATACTCAACATGTTCCTCACACCCAGCCTCTGTTCAACTGGAAGCTAACAATCACGTGCGCCTTCTAGGGTTGTTCCCCACCCTCGCAGTGGGGTTGTTAGATTTTAAAGTAGATGTTGTCCTCGCCCGACTGGAAGCTGACTTTAGTGACCAACCACCAAGTATCCCTGCAGTGCCCAACCACCAAGT